TACATGCTTTAGCTTATTAATGGCTTAGATAATATTCCATAGGGAAAGTTTCATGCTTGTGTGTTTTTAATTCAAAAACACTAACATTACAAGCATTTATAGTTTAACTTCATTCTGAGACCTTAGAAAAGAACACTTTGGCATTGGCTGTATAAGATTTATGGATTATGAACAAATTTGTACAAGACTTGGTCCAACCCATGAGACTCTCTGTTCTCCAAAGGACATTAGTACATTATGGAATCTATAGGCTGTAGGGTTTTACTTCAAGACCAAGAGAGTCTGAAGTGAATAAAAGGAATATTTCTATTTTAGGTTTACGTTATTCCTGTACCTTAGTGATTAACAAGGATTTAATAATAGAGATCACATTAGCAATGTATTAAAATCATTTTACTTTTTAGAGTTAGACTTCTAAATATGTAGTATCAGTCCTGCATGCGTGTAAACACTAGGAAAAAGTTATGAAAAAGGAAATTTTTTGCAGAAACAACATTTTAAATTCTCTTTCCTTCTGTCTCCTTTCTCTTATTTGTTTCTTTCATTTTCCTTCTATCAATATACTCACTCATAAATTTTCCATGGAATATAGCAAATTATACACATTGACATAAGGTCTTGAGTATTTTCTCCCATGTGATGAGTGCCTTTTATAAGTCTGTAATTTTCACTATTACAACAGCTAAAATTTACCGAACAATAACAGACTATTGTGAAAAGATGTAGTAGTTTTTACATTCTTTATATCTAAATACTGACCTTCATTTTATAAAATATTAAAAGCCACCAACATTATACAATTGCTCGTTGGATCAGATGAGAGTGTATTATTGATTTTCTGTGCTTCATTTGTGTTTTTAATTTAATTATGTCTTAAACACAGTGCAAAGGTCCTTCGTTTTGCATAGTTTCAAAAATCTGTTTCCACACTTTCCTTGGAGAAATGCATTTTATGCTATCCTCTTCTTTTTATTAGTTCCTTTTAATATAGAATTTAAAGCTAAAGGAAGACTAAACATTTTAATTCTGCTCTGTGCATGAGAATAGTAGTTGACCTTTGCACATGAATGAAAGAACATAAGACATTTCTAAAAACGTAGCACAGATCCCTTCTAATCTTTGTTGCATTTGCCATTAACTCCCAATGAATCCCAATGAGCCAAATAAGAGGTCTTACCTGAAGCAGCTGCAGAGTTTTCTTTCCTTTGACCCACTTCTCTAATTTAAAAGAATCATCAGTCGTTATAAAATGAGTCTTTTATGACATGTTAGTTTATTGTCTCTTCTAAGGGAGTGGAATCAATTCATTTGAGCAGTCTGTTCTTGAGACAAACGAAGTAAATTTCAGTTATGAGTAAACGCTTGCTTGCACTCTCTACATTTTTGCATTTTAGATGCTCACAGTTTTTAACACAGAGGATCCACTGCATTTTGTCTTCAAATGCCCAAATATGCAAAACCAATACCTTTTCATTGAGCAATACTATTAAAGTAGGAAATATTTTAATACACATTGAAAGAATTTAAAATCAAAAACTGTCAATAGTTTACTTCACCTTTACACTCTACAACCTTTAATATGTCATAATAATATCTGTTTCTGTGAATTTCTAATGTTCTTAAAATACAGGAGCCTTGGTGGGTAGGAAATGACTAATTGTAGAATTACTGCCGTAGCAAACAAAAAATGGATAAACAATGTAGAAATGGAAAAATGTGTTCAAAAATACACATGCAATTTTGATCACTCCATTTAAACAAACACTCAGAAACATTTTAAAATAAGTACCAATTTGTGATACATAGATACTCTTGTATTGTTTTGGAATTGAATTTGCTACATTTCTCCTCAAATGATTTTGATTACAACTTATAAAGTCATATGACACTCAGATCTCTAAATATTTGGTAACTTATTAGTATTACTTGATAATCCTTTAAAATTGTATATTGTATTAAAATGATCATAATCCAAAAGTATTATTAAATGCTTGCTTGACTAGTAACAAATTAAATCATAAAAATTGTGTTAGACATGACCAGTATTCTAACATGTAAAAGAGAAATGCAAAGAAGTCTCAAAAGCCAGATGGTATGACCAAATCCTTATTGAAAGTACCAGTAAGTGATAATAGTGAAGAATAATTACAATTTCATAAAGAGATGGGGTGACATTTATCACACTTAAGATGCAAATTCAGTATTTCTTTTTTACTCACAAAATTAGCAACCTAAGTCCTGAAATTCAAAGATAATTTTAGGCCTCACAAATGCTCTTGAAATGTGTGCTTTGCTCTCTTCTTCCTTCCTGGGGAGGGCTGTCTCTTGCTACTTTCTCCACAATAGGTTCCCTGACCCACTTGGGAAATGATACCCTTGGGCCAACTCTTCCTTTCCCTGGCAGAACAAGTCAGGCTGAAGCTTAACCTGCTCGTATAAAAGACTTCAAATCTCAGAAATACAACCAGGCAGTGGATGGGTGGATGGATGGATAGATGGATGGATGGATGGATGGATGGATGGATGGATGAATAGATGGATGGGTAGCGGGGTGAATGGATGATGGATAGATGAATGCGTGTATGGATGGATAGGGGGATGGATGAATGGATGGATGGGTGGGTGGATGGATGGATGGATGAAAAGAGGAACAGAGAACAGAGATATGGAAGGCAAGAAGAAGAGTACTGATGACTCTCAAGTTTTACCAATGGATGGTGGTAGGGCTGAGTGAATTTTACTTCAGATTCAAAGAAACAGTCAAGCTTTCTCTATTTACTCAAGTAGATATTTTTGTCACATTTTCCCCCAAGCAACATTTTAAATTAATCCTATTTTCTCATGAAAGTGATGTATCATACTCTTGTAAAAATAAAAAAATAAGCCAAGTTCACAAGATGCATTCATACAAGCATACTTAAGAATGAGGCCAGTGTTTTAAAACCACAGATGTGAAGGGCAAAGATTTAGTTTATATGGTGTCATAAACATGACAGTATAATTTACCACAATCTGCTTTATATAAAAATTTACATTAATAGTAGTATACTAGCTCAGCATTGACTAGTTCTTGTTACATGCCAGGTACTCTCTTAAGACTTTTTAATGTAGTAAATGTTGAGTTCTCACAGCAACTCTGTTGGGTAATTACTGTTATCAAGCACATTACAGAGATCACTTAAGTGAAAACCAGACAGATGAAGTCATTTATTATAGCCTCATTTGACTTTTATTTAAGAAGTGGTAATTATGATAGCTACAACCCATTTCAGCAGCCATTCTTTTTCGTTCTTTTTCACTTTCCTCCACTCTCAACCTCATTTCCCAAATACTGACTCAAACCCTACTCTCAGAAGTGACAAGACAGGGAACTGGGAGGCACAGTTCTTTCCCCATCTTTTTAATTAACTTTCCATTAAGTGAAATCACAGGACCCTTTAAGGATTCTTTGCTAGAACCCTTATGATGAAATAAGATGAAATAACACATACAGCTTATTGAAAATTGGAGAAATATTCATAACAGGTTCGGAATTCAGACGCTGAGGCCAGCCTGTTTGTGTTGAGCCCAGTCCTGTGTTAATAGTTCTGCACCGTTAGCACATTCATTAAAATTTCCCTCTGCCTTGGCTTCCATCTATCAAAAAGGCCTGGTAAGAATGCCTACCTCATGCGTTGTGGCTTTGTTATTTGTGAAACAATACAAATATACCTGGCACATTGTAAATACATTTTTATATAATGGATTATTCCTGAAATTTTATCTTATTTCACTGAATTTCTGTTACATATAAGAAACCTTTAGGAAATGGAGCATTAAATTTGGAGGACTCATGAATAACAGCAGTAAGACTCAAGGAAAGAGTAAACAATAGCAACAGAAATTTAAAGGATAGGAGTGAGCTTTAGGGTCATGCTTCTTTGCTGTGTCTAGAATTCTGTAAATTTCTTATTCTGATAGGTAACATGTTTATTGTTGTTAATAGAAGCTGAAAATAACAAATCTGTACTCATTAAATGGGGCTTAATAGACAAAAAGTGCTTAATACAGAGACAAAGGTAAAAAATAAAGAGGCAAATTGTTAATAACAGGATTGGGAACCACTGGTCTGGAACTTCCGTGAGCCTTAAGGAATTATCTAATGACTCAAAAATACCAATCATACTATGCACAAAGATACTGTTACCTGCTGCACCTAATTTAAGAAGATCTCTAAATGCCTGAGCAGTCATCAACGATTACAGAATCTTAGAACAGGAGAAGACTTTGGAGATTAGTTTTATTTGGTTGATTGACTTAGGGTTGGATAATTATTGCTTTAGAAATTAAATTCCTCAGTTCCTTAGCTATAAAGATGTGCATTACAGTGGCAAGCATCTCAGTAGAAGCTAGAGGAAATGATATCAGGCTGTGGCATAGTGGAATATTTTCTTTCATGTGCTGTGGTTTTCCCTTTATATAATGATAAAACTATTTGAGAGTCATTTAGCATCCGTCTGCTCCTTTTTAAAGAGCACTTTGCTTTAAACAGATTTTGAAAATTGCTATTTCAGTTCACACACAGACTTTCTGAAAATGCCTATGTTGCCCACCCAAAGACACCTGATACTCTTCAATGTAAAATTTCCAAAAGAAAATGAAACAGTAGCTTGCAAAAGGTAATTAGTTTTCTGTAGGCAACTTTGTTGGTTTAATGAGTATGGATCAAAGTTAAATTTATTGTAATCAGAGTCAGATTTTTCATGGTACTTTTAGAATAAAGGTCATTAATTTTCTTTATTGAACTGGGGATTAAAACATAATTATAAATTTACTTTTACTCATTAACATGTGCAGTTTCCATTGCACAAATAAAATCTAAGATTGGTAGCACAGACAAGAAAAGTTGAACAGGAGATTTTAAAAAATTACTTTATTAAAAACATAAATTTCTCTCAAAGCAAAAATTTAAACTTTAAGTTTCACTTGTAAAGGCCCTGACAGCTGGGATGTTCTTTTAGCCTCAACAGATGACAGTGCAGCTGAGAAGAAAGGAGGGGCCCTTCATGCTGGCCTCATTGTTGGAATCCTCATCCTGGTGCTCATTGTAGCAGCAGCCATCCTGGTAACAGTCTACATGTATCACCATCCAACGTCAGCAGCCAGCATCTTCTTCATTGAGGTGAGTACCTCGGAGAGCACATAAAGGCCAGCGTGAGTTGTGTCCACTTGCTAACGTCACCTGGGATTTAATACTTAGCACATGCTTTGTCAGTTTCAGGCTGGGCATCTCACACACATGTAGCCACATGCACGAATACTGACAGTTTGCTTTCATATGACAAGTTTAGTCCTCTTATCTCCAAGGCTTTTAAAAAACTAAACTGTCCTGCTTTTTACAGATCTAAAGGAAAGTAAAAACTACACATTTATGTCCTGTTAGACAAAATATGTTAACCAGCTGTTCTCCTAATCCCAGAAGGAAATTCAGCATATGTTGAAGGCTAAAGTACTTGTCTTAAATCAATTAATGAATAAATGCTAATTGAGCATTGATGATGTACATGATACAATATGGTGGACTGGTTCTCAGTACGTTCACAAAAGATGTAGAAAAAATATGATTTCACTACTAAATGATGAAAAAATAAGATGGTGATATATACTGTTTTCATTTTTCATGTGTAGAGATTAATGCATTGCTATATAGATATACATACATTTAAATACACAACAAAGGACCACCATGCTGAATTGGTGTTCTGAACTCATGTACAGAATGCAGATTTAATACCTGTACCAGGACCAAAAGGGTTGAGGACCAGAGACTTTTATAGCGGCTAGAACCACACCTGAATATCTATCTAAAACTGGGGAGCATAGAAACCACCAGATACTATCAGTTACCCTCTGAACCCTGAAGGTTGGTTTCCTGTGTCCCCTATATGAGCAACTGTCATGCTGACATCTTAATGAGGTCACCCCTCTTCCAACACCAAATCGTACCTCTAATACTAGAGTAATAATAAAAAAATCTTCAGAAACATAAGCATTCCGTTCTAGTTCACTGTATAATGTGCAGAAAAATTGCTTGAAATTTTATTCATTTGTTAATTGAGAAATTATAATGCCTTTAAATTATCAAATTAAAATTACCTTTGCCTCCTTCTGGTAAATGCAATGAATTAAATAATGGCTTTAATGTCTTCTCCATCTTTCTTGAGTAAAGTTAGCCCCCTTATGTAGGCACTCAAGGCCTTTACAGTCCAGATCTTATGCATCATTTCAGTCCTCATCCCATGGCCTCCCACACTGGAGCAGGAACTATGTCCTGTTTCACTCTCACCTCTGCTGCATTGCATCCTAAATGCTCCATACCACGAAGGTGCTGCCGACTTAATTCCTCCACCAGAAAATCCCTCTTCTTCCACTTCAGTTCTTGAATTCAAGAGCAAAATAGCCTTCAACAGCATGTACCCACTAAGCTTCCGTAGACCATCTTTATCTCTGGGTGGCTGATACCTCTCCTTCACCTCTGAAACTATCTTAAATACACTTCCACTGTTCCTTCACAATGACCGTTTTGTTTTTCATTACAGTTAAATCTGTGCGCAGTTTATTCCACTATATATGACTCATTAAGTTAAAAAATGATCAACTAAATAATTTGTGTTTTCTTTGAAAAATGGGTATTCTATCAATATTTTATAAAAAATATGTAATAAATATTCCAGCTAGGATATTTCAAACTTGCAGTGAAATTTCATATGAAGGCATGTTCCAGAAAGGGCATCCTCCTTTACCAGCGCAGTTACTGAGAAATGACCAGGCATTGTATTGAGTTGGAATGTTGGTATTAACTTCTGCTAACAGGCTCTATTTTCATGCAACAAGTGGGCATGTTACTGTACGTTATGAATACATTTATCCAAGAGCTGGTGGTGACAAGCTGAAAGTCTCAATGACCAGCCAGACACCAGGCTGCTATTCCTGTTCTAAGCCCCCATGCGTTTCAGTCTCTTAGTCACTGTGAAGTGTAACTGATGGTGATAGTATTAGCAGCAAATTTCACAGTGCAAAAGACCTAGTAAAAGCTAGTCCTGGGGCTGGGGATTTAGCTCAGTGGCATAAGCGCCTGCTTGGTGAGTGGGAGGTCATGAGTTCAATTCCTGGTACCAAATATATAAATAAATAAAAAGCTAGTTCTTTGGTAAAAGTAATCTCTGTATATCCACAAAATAAGACTTCAAAATAATACTACTTCATTTCATACATTTGCCTTTTTTAATCTGTCTCATTGCTTAATAACCTGAGCCTAAATATCCATGTGTGTGTGGAATATGTTGGTGTGTATTTGTAGAAAGTTAGAACTGGAGTGAATCTTAGAGGTAATAGGCCCTTGCCCTGATGACACAGTGGTGGAATGGCTTATTCCTGGTCATCCAGCCATTCATTCCCATCTTTCCACCTTTAGTGAGGCAGAATCATTCTATGTGTTTGTTCCCCTTTTCTTCTCTCTGCCTTTTTCCTTCCCATTGAGTCAACTGCTGAAATCCACATGTACATTACTATGTACATGGAACCCTGCTGTAAACACACAACTTCCAGCGGCTGGTGAGCATATGATTCTGTAGGTAGTAATCACAAGCTTACCAATACTACAGCTAATATAGATTTTAAAATCAAACCACAGTTCTATGATGACCACATAGATTAGGACATGCCAGACCTGTGCTTTAGAAGATCTTAAATTATTAATTAGATTAAAATGGTTAGTACATAAATAAAGAGATCGAGTATTGTTTATATGGCATTTTATTTTTCATGTTATTCTGAAGTCTAGTTTTAAATGAAATTAGTGTGATTTTCCACCATGAAAATTACGCCACTTTATAAAAAGTGTGGGACAAAACAGAAATGTCAAAGGAAAATTATTATACTCCTAATATGTAGAAACAATTACTGTTAGTATTTTAATTAATTTTCTTTAGAATTTGTATATGCATGATTGTTAACTGATTTAGTTTCATTTAACTGATTTAGTGTCATTGTAATTTAATGATATTCATATCATTTCAGTACAAATCAATATTCTCTTTCAAGTGACAGCTATTTTATCATGAACTTTTTGTAAACAAGATTTTAATAGCTGTAAACAATTCCATTCACCATTTATTCAGTTGTTTATATTGATTAACTCTTGAAGTAATATGTGGAAATTAGTAACATAGAAGGGCTTAACATACTAGAAGTCAAAACCAACTTTTCCCACCCAGTCTAAGATTGGGTATTAGTTTTCTATTACTGCTATAACACATTGCCACAAGCCTAATAGCTTAAAAGAACACAAACATTATCTTAAAGACCTGAAGGTTAGGAGTCCAAAATCAGTCTCAACTAAGTCAAGATAGTAGCAGAGCTCGTTCCTTCTGGAGCTCGGGAGAGAATCATTTCCTTGCAACTTTCAGCTTCTACAGGCTGTGTACATTCCTTGGTTCATGGTCTCTCCTCAGATCATCCCAACTTCTTTTGCTAGTATTATATCTTATACTAACTTGACCTTCCTGCCTGCTTATAAGGCCCCTTGTGGCTACATTGGGCCCAACAGAATAACCCAGGATAATCACCCCATCACAAAGTCTGCAGAATGCCTTTTGCCCTGGTACAGAACATTGACAGGTTTTGGAGGTTAGGATGTGGACACTTTTAGGGACCATTTATCCTGTCAGCTACAGACTGCGTCAGATGTAAGATGCAGTACACACTGCCAATGAAACTGTGGTACAAGTCTGTCTGTGATTCTAGCAGAATAATGTATTTTTCACTAATTTGGTATCTGAACTTCACTGATGTCACAATGTGTGTGTCTTGAATATTTCACAGTGAAATCCAGACGCAAGAACCCTTCTATATATTGTCTTCTGTGTTAGACAATTGAGAACCAAGTGAGAATATTGTTATGAAATTCAAGTTTGCCCTCATGGCTGTACCAGAACTCACACAACCAATTTCCTTTGATAGAGCATTTACCCTAAAAATTGGTTCTTCCCACTTTTTTCCTATTATAATAATAATCCCATTATGAACACATTTACTAGTAACGGCTAATCTTTATTAAATTCACCATTATAAGTGATTTATACTTATTACCCCATTAAATAAATGGGGTAATACTGTACCATAAGCAGCATCTCAAAGATGAGTATATAAAGGCACAGAATTCAAGTAACTTACTCTGCTTCACTCATTAAGTGACCAGTGGAGTCATGATTTGAGCCAGGCTCCCCAGCTGCAGGAGCTATACCCTTTGTCTCTAGTCTGTGCTACCTCCGTTTGAGTTAAGGATTTTTCTTTATGGACTTTAAGTAGAAATTTCAGATGATGTACATCTCAGAATGTACATTATGTTCTTAAAATATATTTACCAAAGTATAATCAAAAGAAAAAAGCAGTTTAAAGCAATATAATAAATTTGTCAAAATTATTACCAAGACGTAAACACCCATTTTAGGAGGTGTTACTATTTTCTATTCTGAGTGACAGTAATAATGACAGTCACCATTATCTGTGTATTTTATTCTTGTAGAAAATATAGACCAGTCATACAATTTGTGGACACAGACCCTCTTCCTAATATAAAATGTTTACATGGGCTTATAGCTTTTAAATTTCTTGTTGGTAGGGAGGAAATGAGATAATAAAGCAAATTGTCACCCACCAACCATATAATTAAACAACTGAATTGATCATTTACCTCTCATGTCTTCATATACTTTTTTTGGAACAATAGTTTCATTCTTCCAAAATATCCGGTTCTATTCAGTCTGACAAAATAGTCTGTTCTCCACTGATCTCATGTAATCCTCCATCATCCTACTCAGATCTTTAACTGAGCGCTTTTCTTTGAGTCTTTACTGGATATCTTGCATTTTGTGTTATCTTTGTGGCTTTTCCCAGTTACTTTCAAAGGATATCTGATTCTTACCAAAAATCTTTTATATTATGCAAGAATATCTTTATTTCCTTTAAATCTTTTAAAAATGAAGTTTATTATCTTGAAAGAAACAGGCAGAGAATATTTAGCAGAACATGTGTTCCTTAGGTTTTACTAGGTTGTGATAAGACTAATATCTCTTGGAAGAATCAATGTGCCTCATGCTATGCATTAAACTCAATGATTGA